TAATGCTGACATTACTGCTTGCCGGCAGAAATAGGTAAGGTGGCAGTACTTAACTGCCGTTGCCGTTGCCGTGCAGGACTGCCAAGCAAAGGTCCCAGGTTCGATTCCCGGGCCGGGAGAAATATTTGTATGGCCTACATTTATTTCTCTCGTGAGTTTGGGTGTAATTTGTAGTTGTCTAAGTGTGTGTCCATGGCACCCGCGACACAGGGTTTCCTTAGTGCGGGGCTATGTTGAGTATGTACGTTATTATTATTATTTCACTAGAACCCTAAAATCGGAACGCAGTAATGCTTTCACAGATTACGCTTTAAAATTACTTACTTCGCTGGCTTAGCGACCTTCCGAAGTGGACCTTGGCCACTGTACATATATACACCACTGTACGCCATTTCTGTCGGTCTTGTGCCAATTCCGACCATTCGTACACATTCAGTTCCTTTAGGTCTTTGGCGATTTCATCCTTCAGCGATATCTTGGACGGCCCACAGGACTTTGATCCGTAGGTTGCTCCAAGTGCGCTATTTTGGCAGCTAGATCCTCGCCCATCCTTTCCACATGTCCTGGCCAGTGAAGTCGAGCAGATTTTATTTCTCCGATTATGTTCGGCACAGACACTCTCTCTCTCTCATCTGAGCGTTGTCCCGGTTGCGTCCTCAGCAGTGTTGCTGCGGAGCCCGGAGTCCGCTTTCCTGCTTTTTCTCCTCCACTTTGCACGGTCTTCGGCATCCTTAGTGGTGAGACCATTGGCACGCATAGCACCCTTGGCGACGTCAAGCCAGCACTTCTTGGGTCTGCCCCTTCTACCGGGGCCAGGCGGAGGTGGCATAGCCAGACATTTGTTTCCCACGTAGCATGCCGGTTTCCGTAAGATGTGGCCATACCAACGTAGGCGGCTTTCTTTCAGACACTAGTTCGTCTATATCTGGCCCTCTAGTTTCCAAATTCTCCTTTGATTGGTCCCAGAATCTTTCGAAGTATTTTCCGTTCCGCTACTAATAATGCATGTTCTTCCTTCAGCGTTAGTGTCCATATTTTACACCCATATATTAAGATTGGCCTAATTATTGCTTTGTAGACACGAACCTTTGTAGTCCGGACACCAACACTTTGTGAAGGGCTGACGTATATCGTAGCGCGTTAACTATGCGATTTAAAATTGACATGTCTTTTTATTAGTCAACCGGTCCACACGACACAAACATGTTAATTTAAGCTCATCTTAATACGTTATTGAAAACCTAAACGGGTTAAATATCAGTAGTCGGAAATGACATTTTCGAAAGTTATTTTGAGGGCACAATGTTTTTTCTTTTAAACTTAACTTAACCTGACCTAACCGAACCTAATCGTGTCTTTGCGATAAACATCCAATATATCCTGAAGGAACAACGGCTTCGTTGTAATTCGGTTTTCGGGATAATGAAAATTCGAGCAAATTTTATTTCGGGAAAAAAAATTCGAGTTTGTGATAAGTGATTCTGCCGTATCCAAACTGGAGAGCGTGTACAAACGCACAGTTAGGCAGACAAAAATACAATACAAAAATTCTTTGTTGTACACCAAAAAAGGAAACAAGTTTCTGCCAGACAGATTTTGAATGGAAGTAATTATTATATAACTCACAGGAAAAAGACGGCGCGGTGTATGAAGAATTACTAATCAATAGATAGAAAATTGATAAATGAACACAAACATACACATATTTATACTACTATATATACTACTAAAACTACCATATATTCCTGTACTTATAAAAATAAAATTTCTAAAACATAATTTTAAAACATAAAAATACCGAAGCAGTGCAAGTCACGATAGTGTTCTTTTACCATATTTTTGAGAATATTCATTGATTTCGCTTGTTGAATTGACAAAGGTAAAGCGTTCCACAAACGAATAGACTGAACAGTAAAGAACTTGTCGTAGGGGAGGTATGCAGGGGCATTTTAAGTTGGAGAGTTGACGATGAACGCAGAAGTCGGAGGTTGGATTGATGGGCGAATTCAAATCGTTCCTTCTGATAAGAGCTCCTTGTGAAAGAGTCCATCCAGGCTAGTATTGCCACCTTACCTATTTCTGCCGGCGAGCAGTAATGTATGCACTGGTGAAATTACAGGCACATGGGACTTGTCAACTTATGTCTCAGGGTGACTGCCGCAGTGGCAATGCCCCTCAAATCCTCAAAGATTTAAATCTCTGAGTGGCACTGCAACTGTTATGGACAGGCGTTTAGCTTACCATCAGGCGCACGACTTGTTCTTTCCGTCACTTGATATTATAAAAAAAAGGCGACAGAAGACCTGATCCTTCTGTTACAGCCTTCTCACTCACCCTCAAGATTGCTGACTTCTATAAGCCTTATAACAAAGCTGCAATCAGAATGTGCTAAATTTAAATGTGGAAGAGACACCGAGCTTTTGTTGGTTAAAATAAATAAGTGACAACATGATCTGGGTTCCACGTCTGCCAAATTTAAATCGCCTCACTTGTGTGTCGACATTGTCAATAGTAGGTTTTTGTAGGTTTGGTATTCTCTAGGATGGAAAGGGTATTCTGCTAAAAATAAAGTGTGGGGCTTGTCAGTAGCTATGGTCCGTCTTTTTTGGAGGCGAAGTAAATGACAGCACATTGCGCAATCAATGTTGCCCGCTTGCGAGCGGCTAATGATTGCAGTCGATAAATATTCTATCGACTATCGACTGAATATCGGTCACGCTTATGGAATAAATAGCCGAACTTGTTTCATTTGAAACATCTTCGAACCATTATTCATTCAATTACTGAGCACAAGTTCATTTGAATGTCAGTTTTTGTAAATTCATGCATATACACACTGTATTTAGAACTACGTTTATGAAAAATACAAAGAGGAGACATATTTTATAGCTTTTCATTTTAATTTAATATAAATCCTATTCTTGTTAAAATGAATATGAAAAAGAATTTATTTCGATGCTAGTAGGCCAACTGTCATAATAATAATAAAGAAAGAGTTGACCCAATCACTAATCTTTAGATTACATTTAACTGCCTCCGTGGTTGAACGGTTGCCATGCCGGACTGCCACGCAGAGGTCCCAGGTTCGATTCCCAAGCGGGGAGAAATATTTGTATGGCCTACATTTATTTCTCTCGTGAGTTTGGGTGTAATTTGTGGTATCCTATGTGTGTGTCCATGGCACCGCAACACAGGGTTTCCCTAGTGCGGGGCTGTGTTGAGAGTATGCGTTATTATTATTATTTGAACGTTGTAACATTCACAAGTCAGTCATTTTTGGCATAATTTTATCTTCCTTCACAATCTATCGATAAAACTATCGACAAGAACAACACATAACTATTTAAAATTTTATGAAAACTAGCAATCCCACAAATGTCATTTTAACTACTCCGTCTTCAAAGGACAGGCTATAGTCATCGAGCTACTATTCAACTGCCATAATATTTTTTTTATATACTGCTCTTCAATGGCGTAGTGTATTAATGTTGTACATATTTAATTTGAAGACATTAGATATTTAAATTGCTGATTAAACTAGACAAAAATTAAGATACGCTGAGTCATTTCCTTGGTAGATTTGGTGAGGCAACATTGATCGACAGTGATTTAATGAATGAATGCTATCACTGCCATTCAAGTCACACTCTATTTAGACTCATTGCCATTGCAACTTGATTTTAGCAGAATAATAAACATTATCATAATTGTAATATAATTTCAATGGAGTCTCAATTGAATTAGAATAAACAGTGTTTCAAGAAAATCACCAGTAATTGAGGCCCTGGCCGGGGACCGAATCTCTTCATAAAATAATTGGAATTCACATACGATTTTTTTTTAAACGTGACTTTGACGGAATACCTTCGGAAAACTGCGATTTGCAGAAAGTTCCACTGTAAATTAAAACAAGTCAAATGAAAATCTCTTGGGCATTACCACAAACAATCACATGTAACATATTCTCCTTTTTCACAACCTGCGAATGTGTACACTTATTTCACCCCGTTCGTTGCTACCAGTATGCCCGGCTTGTTGTTTACTACAATAAGTCCTCGGTCCTCGGATTACTCCGTATTCTAGACAAAGCATTGACTTACAATTATATGGACGTCGGGTCCGCGCTAAAAAGTGTCCGCACTTGTAAGGCGCTAAAATCGTATACAGAGCGCCACACTCCGCTTTAGTCTTCATTTGTTCGACTGACAGCGCGATACTGCGATGACATTACTATTTAAATTTCGAATAGGTTGACTTGAGACATTTTTTTCGTGGTTTTTGTATTAGACCCGTCGTCCATTTATTTGTAAGTCAATGAGACAAAGTGATTTTTTGATGCTAATTTTTCGCTTAATCAGGGCTTCAACAATGCTAATTTTAAATCATCTCAGTTGACAGTTGATAGAGTCAATGGCCGGTTTTTACGTTTGGTATTCTACCAACATAGTATTCAACTGCTATTGTAATTTTTTAGTATTCTGCCCTTCAATAGTAAATCGATGATGTAGTTTACTAGAACAATAAATTCAATTTGAAGACTAAATTGCTACTTAAGCGAGATAAATATTAAAATATGCATAATAATTTCCATGGTAGATTTAGAAAGACAACATCGATCGTTAGTGATTGAAAGAATGAATGCCATCACTGCCACTCAACTTAATATTAGCAGAATAACAAATATCATCATAATTGCAAAATAATACCAATGGAGTTACAATGACAAGTGGTTTCAAGAAATTTAGAGGAATTGGGCACCAGGATTGCGAGCCGTAAGTCCAAAAACATTACCTTGCCGCCTTGCTGCCTTGGACTCGGTGGAGCGAAAAGTAAAGAGACTTATTAACAACAATTCTCTTGTGGAGTCGAAACTACAAAATGGCAACTATCGCAGAAAAGTAGCCTGCTTGTTGGTTATTCTATCGGATACGTTTCGGGTAGTGTGCGTAGGTACTTTTCATTTTAGTTCCACTATCACTGCTCCTCCGGAGTACGCCATCCTTATATCATTGATATACCACTCATTCGCTCTAACTATAGCAGCGCACTAAGCGTTGATGTTCAAACAGACAGAGTTCGTTTTGTAAAGACAAAAATCTTGCTTAGTCGAAATTAATATTCCTTTTATAAGTATCAGATTTAGAAGTGTATTTTATAAGACAAGAATTTTCATGAAAGAGGAATTCTGGAATTACCCGTAATGAAAGATTGTAGATTAACACGGCCAAATACATAATTGACTAAAGTTTAATATTAATTTCTTTTAATGTTTTTCGGCCTATCCAAGAAATAGAAGAGAGAGAGAAAAGTAAATAAACTCTGACTTTTAAAAAAAGGCTCCGACTACCTATTTACAGCTCTTGGGTCGTGGGGTCCCGGTAACAGACTGTCTGGGAAACCCAAGGGCTACCTTGCCCAACGCATTATCGTAACCATACAAAGCGGGAACGCTGCCAGCACATTGGGCGCCTTGCCGCGGGGATCCAATTTTATTCATACAATTTAATCCTAGTTTTTCGTTCTAGTATTTAAGTTTTTATCGAATCTTACTTGCATAATATAG